AAAAATCTGAGGAAAGTGTAAGGTAGTGAACGACATTCGCTCATGTATACACACTCTTTCTGAGAGTGAATGTGCCATATGGCTTCATAATAATTTTCTAAGTAGACTCATAACTGTACCTTTGCTAAGGGGCCCGTTATTGTACACGTTGTATCCGTTTGCATAGGTTAATCAGCGACTATTTACCTAGTTGTGTAATATCTCAAGAACTGTTGAAGGTATTATATATTTGTGATCACAGTGCACTAGGAGTGCATATTTGAAAGAAAATAATATAATGACTTGTGATGGAATATATGCATATGTGATATATTACTTTTGAGATTGATATTATTATGTTTTTTTATATTCCATGATTATGATTGTGCTGTGATGTTAATTTTTAAAACAGTGTTATGTTTAAATGATAAGATAGATACTCATCCTTACTAAATATTTCAAGGAACAAAGATGACGGTACCACAAAGACAATTTTGATTAGTAGACTATCTTGTTAGTAGTAGAATGAATTATAAATTTAAAAATATCAATGTTGTGTGTATTTTAACTTTAATATGGATTGTGAAGATGGTAATATATGGACTGTAAAGATGAATATAAATTATGATATTCCTTTTGAGTTCCTTACAAATAGTTGTATCCACCATATCCTTAGTTTTTATATCTATTGAAAGACAGTTAGACCTCAAAAGTTGTAAATAATGTTTTTACTTTCCATGATCATAACCTTTTTGGGGAGATCCACTCGGTATACATTTGAGAGATTCTCAAGTATAGAGGTTGTAGCGGATTCTGGTAATGCCTATCTTGGAGAGGACGAAGAGTTGGTTGCTGAGAATCTAGCCGAAATAGAGGACTAACACGATATTGATTACTAGGACCTAGTCTTCAGTGTATGGGTGTGGATAAAGACTGTTAATATGACTTAGTTTATTTTAATTATGTAAACATTTATTTTAAGACCTACAACTTTTTGACTAATAATTTGTAAATTATTACAATGTTCATATGTAAATAGAATTTAGTATCTGTATATTTCTGTAACTATTTCAATATAATATAATTACTAAGTCACGATTTACTTTGTATATTTTACGCTCTTATTAATTTTGTAAACAAATTCATCTACAGAAAAGTTTTAAATTCATTCTAAATTTTATGTTGTTTGTTTTAATTTAAATTTATTTTGATGTCCTTTGAAAATACACGAATTATAAGGTATTTTAAACGTCAAAATTTAGGGTATTACAATTTGACTATATGAGAATTGTTGTCATGCTATTTTGTGGTTGAATTTCTTCTATTCTATGCTTATAATCACAATATGATATTCATTTTTATATGAATGTATGTTTTATGATAAGATAAATGATCATCCTTACTAAACTTTCAGGGAACAAGGATGACGATACCCTGAGAATAAATCAGATTGATAGATAGTTATGTTTAATGTAGACTAAATTATGTATTTAATAAATATTAGAGAACTTGCTATTTTAAGCTGGTCATAGACCGTGATGATGTACCTAGCCATATTTTTATTTTAGAAATGGAATTGTATCATAGCATTCCCTTAGACTTTCTTGTAAATAATAGGATTCACCATGCCGTGTGTATATATATTTATAGAGGTACAGTTAGAACTCTGGTAGTTGTGACTTACTTGTGCACTTACCACAACCTTGATCATCTTGGAAGGCTGACCCGAGTAACTTTTGAGCGGGTCACGAGTGTTGAGGTTATGGTTAACTCTAGAGATCTTTATCTTAAAGATGATGAGGATCTAGATTTTGAAATTGCGGTATAGCATGGCAATGATTAGTACCTAGTCCTCAGTATCTTGGATATAGCTTAGAACTATTTTGTAACTTAGTTTATTTTGGTTATGTAATTATTATTTTAAGTCTCACATATTTTGATGAATAATTTGTAAATTATTATACACATTACATGTAAATACACATTCAGTATTCATATTTTGTAAATGTTTCTAATATACCATAATTTTTAAATTTCTGGTTTACCTTATCTGATATCATCGTGTTGGCAAACTTGATAAATAATTTTATTCATGAAAATATTTTAAATTTACTCATAATTATATTGCCTCGCATATACGAAAATTTACATTTCATTTTTTTTAATTTCAATTTTGTATAAATAAAATGTGCAGTTTAAAACTAAAATTTAGGATGTTACACTTTCCCTTTTGTTTTCTCTCTGTTCTCTTACCCTCCTTTTTTAGAGAAAAACATTCTCAAAGTCGAATTTCTTCTTAATCCAAGTGTGAACGCTTATTTCCTAGAAAATCTAAGTAAGTTTTCGGAGCTTAATTCTCCATCTTTATTCCTTATTTCCTTGATTTCTCTTCTCAAGAGCTTTATGTTTTGTAATGATAAGAAGATCTGAGTTCTTTGGTCGTTATATGTCTTTTTGGGACTTACGAAAGGAATGATATAGGAAAACATCTATTTCTAGGTAAAAGGAGCTTATTCTAAGTTATTGTAATTACCCATAGAAATATTTATATACAAACCTTGATATAGTTAAGAATAAATCACTTATGAATAAAACCTAAGGTAGAATACCAAGTATATATATATATATATGTATATGTATATATATATTTGTAAAAGTTGAACTGTTGAGCTAAGATAATATATGCTGAAATTAACTGATAACTAATAATATCTTATGTTAGTTAGGCTGTGATACAAGTTATAAATAATAAAAGATTGCTATATCATGTTGATTGTTGTTGAGAACACATTGATATTGAACTATACTATCATGATTTGTATGAAATATCATCATACTAGAGTCAAGTTACATATTTAGGGGTAGACATGTAACGGTTAGAAAACATGTTGAGTTGAGTTGTGCTGTATACCTGGATCAAGATACTGGAATGGGTCGCTTCCAAACCGGTAATTTGTAAGTTTTTTCTGGATTAATTAAGCTATAAAACTAGTTAGAACTGAGTTATTGCATTTGCATTAGATGGGCTGAAAATTTGCTGAAATTGTTGTTTTGCTTATTGAGGATTATGAAAGTTGTATAAACATTTTTGATATATTTTCATACTCTATGATTATGATTGTTGGTTATATAAGCTCACCCTTATATTTCTGTCTGTGTCAGTGTATGTAGTACGATTTTACGGTAGTACGTGAATTGGTGTGAGAAGTGACGTGTCTACTTCTCACGCTGAAAAGCCTAGCTGAAGGATATTCTGTGTTTAGTGTTCATTTTGGAAGATTGTAATTTTATGTATTTTGTTAATCTAGACTAATTAACTACATATGTAAATATTTTATAATTTTGATAAATTTATATTTTAAACTCCATGTAGAACAACTGTTATAAATATATATACGTATATAAATTTTTGAGTTATATAAAAATGTTCTTAAAGCTTTGTTATTATGTTAAGATGTTAAATTTTCTTTTTGAAAATTATTTTGTTCTTTGCAGGATAATACGTTGTTAAAGTGGATTAGCTCCTTCCACTGTAAGGGATTAAGTGGTAGCTTATCATCATGAATATACGTTGTTCTTTGCAAGATGTCAAACACAAAATTATGAATATAAGTTTGAATTATTTTGTAGTATATAGTTTATAATTAAATTAAGCTTTTGATATATATATATAAAAATTATACTATCAACTAATTGAAAACAATGGTAGGTATGACTTTTGAAGTAACTATTATAAAATTCAATAATTTTTAATGATACAGTGATATTTGGTTGAATGATAGTGTAAAAAAAATTACAAAGTTAATAAATTGTAATTAAATTCAATTAAAATAATATTAAGAGTATTACTTAACCTTTAATAATTTATATTAATACACACGCTATATATTTTTGAAAATATACAAAAGTTACTTTTATTTTTATTATTTGTGAAAAACAAAAATTATAAAGGCAAAACTGACCTTCATTGAATTCGACACTGGCTATTATTAAAAACTTAGCATCATCTAAAATTTTCTCAAATTTATTTATAATAACTTAGCACTTACAAAGTTTTTTTTTTTTTTACATTATTATTAAAGACGTTTAAAACTGAACCCTCCAATTAAAATAAAATAAAAAAACATATTTGAACAACTAAAAATATTGAAAAGTTAATACAATGGTATCAAAATATTAATCTAAATTTGAGAATTTATAGTATGGAAATCTTATGTATTTATACACATTATCTTTTTTATCAGATAAATTTTTATAGAGGATTAATATAGTTATATTCATTCATACATTATTTACTATATTTTATGAATTTAGATTGAACTAAATCTTATATTATATTCATTTTTACATTCCTTGTTAGAATTTAGATGTATATTTTTTGGATGAAATAGTTTATACTTAATATTTATTATGAATTGACATGTTGTATTTTGACGAATATTTTATGTTAATAATTTCTTTAAAAAATTCAAAATGAATTAAATTTGATTGGACTAAATCAATTGAATGATTTTCAACACTAGGCAATTGTTGGTATGTAAATCATAAGTGAACTTTACGTGCAATATCAAAAGTTTGACTCTCTGAACTTGTTTTTGACCCAATATAGAGCCTTGGCCCAGGGATAAACCCCACATCACACTTCTAGACTTTGACAAAAAAAATAAAAATTACTGTAACACTAAGAACTTGTTTGTTTGTTTTTTTTTTTTATAAATTATATTTTAAAAGAATTTTAAAAAACTATTTTTGAAAAATAAAAATATGTTGAAAAACAATTTTTTTTATTTTTAAAAATAGAAAACTGTTTTTAAAAAACAGAAAACTAGACAAGTTCTACGTACATAATATTTGCAATATAATATATGATCAGACAGAAGAATAGACAAAGTACCAAAATAAGAAAAGGATTTGTTACATGATATTTATGCATAAACTGTAGAGGAATAAATTTTGTTCCTTTATGCCTTTTTCCTACACCAAGAAATTTAACATTTGCATGGAAAATCTAAATCCACATGTCACAAAGCAGAGAGAGATGATGTGGCAATGATGGGTGGTGTAGGAGTATAAGACTCATCATCTGCCCAATTAGTCTCTCCCCAGTGCTTCAACATGCTTTCCCATGAACACAAATTTTCTATGCATTTATTCAATCGCTGATCTTTAACTTTGATTCTCCAATGCCCATTTGTGTAGTTTGCTAATTCAGCTTGCCTACGATCCCATTCTAACTGTGCCTTTTGCTTGGACTTCAACATGCAAAACTGCTGCAACATCTCGGGCATTGCATTATGCACCTTCCACCACCTTTCATGAGCAACATCACTTGCAAACTCACGAAATATATTAGAATTCCAGTTACAATCATAGTCACGGAAGCACAACCATGGCTTCATTCCTAGATAGTGAAGGACATAGAGGCTCAGCACCAAATAACATGGTCTTCGTTTGTTTCTTCTCTTCCTCATCACCAGCCCAAAAATGCTTCAGAAAGTTCATGTGTCTTGGTATCCTATGCCACCATGTAAATATTTCATTTAAGTATCCTTGGTCCCCTCCATTGTAGGAAAACTCATTAATATTATCCATTAGGAGCTTGAAAGTGCAATTTGATGGCCCAACCACCATCACACCTGAGTTAAAAAGTGTGGCATCGTTTCCTGTAGCAGTGATTTCTGGCATTCCAAATAGGAAATCTATGTTTCTTAGTATGAGTAAATCTGCATCAATGAATATTATCTTGTCATAATCTGTTAGTTGCCATAAACGAAACTTGCTGTAGTTCCATTCATTGTAAGCATCTTTTTCAGCTTTTGGGTTTCGAATCCTTTGTATTGTCCTAATTTTCCACCCTGCTGCTTCCAAACCACTTCTGTGGTATTCACTGATTGTTTCATCAACAAGTATAATTAGGTCCCGGGTTGATCCAGACATGCGAATGCTTTGTGCAGCAGCAATAGCTCCACAAACATAAACATGAGCTGAATGAAGAATTGTAGCATATGCTTCTCTATGAACATCTGCCGCGTAAATCAGCTCTGCTTGAAGTTAATTCATTTTTAGTCATGTCATCTATATGATAAGAAAAATATAATTAAGACAATAAGATAAAATTTCTGTTGCACATGGATTACAACATAACAAGTCTGTTGTAAGTAGAAAAGATTGTCATATTTCTTGGTTGTGTAAATATGGAGTTTTCAGGTTTCAAGTTTCAACAGCTTTGCTTCTTTTAAAGAGAATCTAATTATTCAAGAATATATATTTTGTAGATTGGATTTGTGATTCTTGAGCAATTATTACGTTCAAAATCACATTTATCTTGCAATAGAAAATTGGTCTAAAAATGTGTTAGAAACAAGTCATTGCTGGTTTAAGGACTGGTGACTGTATACAAGTTCCCATGTTATATGTTTGTTATAATACTATGATGTTATCATGTAATGTCTACTATGTGTGTGTTAGAAAAAAGAGAGTAGAACTAACCTTTTCCCCTCAAAGGAAGTGCAAGTTCACACGATCCTACTGGGAGGTGTAGTTTTTTTCTCAAAACAATCAAATTTGGTTTGTATAGCCATACATTTCCTTCATGTCCCACAAGTTCTTCGCAGTGAAACAAATTTGGTGTGGGAAAGAAATGGGTAACAAAAAGCACATACACAGGGTAATTTCCTTTGAAAGAGGTTGCAAGTTCAGTTGCTGCTAGTTGCAAGTGCAACCTAGCTACATCTCTAGACCAATTATTCCCCCTATTAGGATGAGGATGCTTCACAGCTATGAGATTAAGCCTTGTTCCAGGAGATTTAAGACTTGGGAGAGCAGGACAAATGGGAACTTCAGTTTCTTCTTCCTCATCAATCCATTCTGGGTACAGTGATTCTCATGTCACATTTTTTGCCGCATACTCCAAGTGCATAACCAAATGTGTCACATCAGGAATAAGCTGTTTCCAATGGTTTATTTCAGTCTTATTGAAGTTTAGAAGGCCAACCCCTTTAAATTCTTTTTTTCTAGTCAAATTCTCAGTAATTTGCAATATACCATCCCAGTTAATATTTACATTCGATATATACCGAGGATCTGAACCACCCCATATCCACCTGTTCATAAAATTTGGTCTGCACCATATAAATTTGACACGATGAGTTCATCTTCTTCTTATATATTCTACACCAACTTAATTTCACATTTTTCGAAACCAGATTACTAGGTGGGCATGATACAAGAATTTGCAAGATAATTTCACTCGTAGTATAAGGAAAATTTCAGTCATTATTTTTTTCGTTCTCTGAAATTTAAGGAAGAAAAATGTAAAATATGTCACTCTGTATCATCAATGATAATTATTATGAATCATATTTTTCTACTACTTAACAAAATTCAATACTTCTAAAGATATTGCCATCCTTAATTGAATTCCTTAAACAAAGTTTCATACGTCTTAAACTAACAATATATGCGCGAATTGGGAAGAAGAAAACAAGTGTTTGATCACTTGTGGGCGATATTTGGTTTGGAAGAAAAAAAAAAAAGAACGATATAGAGCGAATATATTTAAATGTAGCGTATGCATGTGAAGAATAATACCTACCCAGAGCTAGAGCTTAATAAATGGTGGCTTTTGTAAACCTCTGGAGAGTACATGAGAGTTGAAAAAGTGCCGCAAATGATTAACACAAGGACAAAAGGTTTTAAGAAAGAAAACTTGCATCTTGAGCTTTTATCATGGATGGGTAAGTGGATAGGCTTCTCTATATCTTTTGCATTACTTCTTGGTAATCTTCGTCTGTATAACTCTTCACTGCACCACGTAGTTATTCAAAATTAAAATAATAGATATAGCAGAAGAAAACAAACAAAGAAAATAATATTAGAGACCATTGCAGATAAGAGTTTTAATTAAACTCTGGCAAGCATACTGAAATATTCTTTGACAATTCCATTGTTTGTGTCTGTTTGGCAGAAAATACAGTAAATCTACAATGAGTAAAATGTTTGTGATTTTTCAAACTTAATTTTATAAAATGGTGAGTGGCAGGCATTATAATTCTTTTTGTTTTCTATATTTATTTCTAAAATCACTAGGCCTGGCCTAATACAATGGATTTAGGCTGGTCCATTTTCTATTTTCTCTTTATTTATATAATTAGAGTATAAAAATAATTTTAAATCATTTATTTGATTGATTTATGTTACAAAATTAAATTATCTAAAAAAAGTAAAATTAATTAATAGTTAAAAATAATTTTTTTCAATGCAATAATGTTTAAGTAAATTTTGAAAAATAAACTTAATATTGATTATGATAATTTTAAGTTTTCTTTTGGTCAAAAGATAACTTTAAAATTGTGGGCCAAATCATGTCAAGCAAGGCCGGATCAAACTGGCCTAAGTTAGATGAAAAAAAAGGAATATTTTGCTTCAATTTTATTGACCCAACACGTACACTTAGGTACAACATTTGTGTAGACCAAATGAAAAATGTTTACAATGTTTTTAGCTAAAACCCGCCAAAACCAAGGATGGCAGTGGATAAATAACTCGATAGACACTCACAAAATTTATCTACAATAATTAGAGTATTTATCTGTTATATAGATACGTGTATAAGTATTTAATTATTTACTTCATCCTATATATATATATATATATATATATATATATATATATATATATATATATATATATATATATATTAATTGTGCTATTTATATAAATTTTGTTCTATAAATATATACTAAATTTTTATATTATTATATTATTTATATAAAGTTATATAAGATTAATATAAAAATATATTCAATAATAAAGTAAATCAAAAAAATTATTTTGGTTTATATTTTTAATAAAAAAATTTATTTACTATTTTATATTATTTAACTAGGCTAATACAATTTAATTATTACCTAATTGATATGAAATCGAATTTTTTTAAAAATATTATTTAATATGACACACATAAAATATTTTTCACACAAATATTTTCGTTAATAAAATTATATTAATATTTAAATCATAAAGTGAATGATAAATAATAAATATATTGTAAATAATTTATAAATTTTATAATCACATACTATTACCATAAGCTTATTATTTATTGATAATATTTAAATTTTATTTTTTATATTTTAATTTAAAATATTATTTTTTTATGCAACATGTGTAATACAAGTATAACTATAATTTATTGAATCTAAATAATATTATTCTTACCATTTATTTACATTTAAAGAAGTTTTTGAAAGGACATAAAATATAAAAAATATTATTAATTCTTATTTGTTAATTTTTCTTCAGATAAAAAATATTTTTTTTATTTTCTTCAGATAAAAAATATTTTTTTTTATTATAAGATTTTATTGTGACCATTTATCTTTTATTCAAATTCTTTCTTTTAAAATTTATCTATATTATAAATATTTAATTCATTAAAATAATTTTTCAAACTATATTTATGATGCAAAATATATTTCACCAATTTGCAGGGAAGTCTCCAAATCATGTCATAGGACTGTTAGATGGTTTCCTCCTCCTGTTGATAATTTCAAATTGAATGTTGATGGTACTATATCCAAAGTTACAAGTGTTGCTGCCTGTGGGAGTCTAATTAGGGATGCTCATGGCAATTGTATTGTTGGTTTCTATAGGAAGATTGATCTCTGTTCCCTGTGGCTGCTGAGTTATTGAGTCTTTTCTTTGGTATTCAGATGGTGATTCAACTCAAGCTGCTAGCTATATGGATTGAGTCAGATTCTAAGGAAGCCATCTCTCTCATCTTGAAGTTGCAACCAACTTCCCATCCTTTATTTCCTTTAATTTGTAACATTAGGGAGGCTTTGAAGTTTATTAGCTTTATTAGGCTATCTCATATTTGTAGAGAGGCAAATGGTTGTGCTGATTTTCTTGCCAAGATAGGCCTTGACCTCCTCTCTCCCTGTGTCTAATTTATGGATCCCCCTTCTTCTTCCCTTCTTCCCTTTTTAAGCTTAGACTCTTGTAGTTCTGTGTTTCCTAGACCTTTTGTACAGGTTTTTGGGCGTTTTGCCCCTTTTCTTAGCAAAAAAAAAAAAATTTCAAAAATTTATATTTTTAACAAAATACTTTTGTGTAGTATATGAGTTAAAATACTAGTATTAATATATATATATATATATATATATTATTAATTATATTAAAAAAAAGTGTTATGTGTCAATTTCTCGTTGTCGTTTAGTACTTGAACTTCTTTGTCCTAACCCTACTCTCATTCTCAATGTTTGTCTCATTAAATCCTATTGCAGCAACCATGAATCGTTATTCATTAAAGCTAGTTGTCAATGTCGTTACAAGAGGTCATCAAGTGATCCCACATAAGAGGCACCCACTGTGTAGATCTAACTTGTTGTCATTCTGTTGTTGTCGTTCAGTCGGATCTCACACAAGATAGGGTCATCGCTTACAAATAACTTGAGTGTTTAATTTCACTTATGTTTTTTAAGAATTTTAGTTTAGAAAATTATTGTATTAAGATACATTTAGCACTTGTAATATTTGAATATTTATTTTTTATCTATGCTTGTACCTTATTCGACAACTACGTATTAAATTTTTATATTATTATAATACTTATGTGAAATAAGCATATTTTTCTTTATAAATATTTTTTTTTCAAGAAAGCAACAGAAGTCCCTCTTTCAAAGAACCGATTCTTTATACGGTAAATGAAATGGCTATTGGATGGGAAAGCAGTATACGAAGGACTAGTACCCAAGCATCAGGAGATGTGAGAGCCCTCGCTTGAAGAAGCTTATTGTGTGTGAAAATCCAGTCGGGGAATCTTTGAATTGACTCCGCAGCTGAGCAAGCGCTCGAAACATAGCTTAGGGAATGCCTTGAGCGAGCCGAGTGCGTATCCCCTGAGTACGATGCCCTAGATCCAGCACCAACCGATCTATAAGCTTTGGCCGGGCCAACCATTGATCTATTCGAACGCCTTCCCGCAGTTTTTCCTTAAGAGATGCCGGCTTCTGGTGTGGTGGTTGGAACCTTGTGAAAGACCAAGCAAGAATCGTCCTTTTAGCCACTCGAGAGGTTTGAATATAGGTACACAGGTACCTAGAGGGCATGGGTACGAGGATTAATGTTCATACTTATGCGGGTGTGAAATTGGATACTAGTATTTTTTTAAAAACACAGATATGAGGATAGGTATTATAGTACCCTATCCATACCCTACTCAGTGTCATTCCTAACCAAAATCATGTAAATACAAAAGATGAAGTATAACATTATTTATCCTTTATAATATTATGTAGCCATAACCTTCTGTGAAATATTTTAAATATATTTTTTATTGTTAATTAAAAATTTAAAAAAAAATATGAGTGAGATTTATTAAATGGAGAAATGAAACCCTCAAAGTTTTGCAATTTCAAAGAAATTTCATCTGATAATAAAATGTACTGTTTTATGTTTCAATTTATTTGTCCAGAAAAAAATTATTTATCTATTCATATAAAAGTTTAAAATAATATTAATTATTATTAACTACTTGATTAGCTCAAATTAAAGAGAGGTCCATTAATAAAAGATAAATATGTAAATCATCAAATAATTCTAACCAAATAATTAAGTTTATTAATCTTGTAATTTCGTTTCTTTCTGAATAAACAATTAAATATAAAGATAGTATTTGAAAAAAGTATGTTAAAGCATATCCAAAATAGTTGCTCATCTAGTAGCAACTACATACTGTTGGACAGCATCTTAATTTTTACGCATTAGAGTATCAATTATTTCAAATTGTAAATTCCATTATATTTTATTTTATTTACTTTCGACGAGTTTCACTAATAAGTTTTAGCAATTCATTAGAGTTGCGTAAATGGTATTGTCAGTGTGTTGCTAGTATAGTTTTATTTTTCTTAGTAACATTATAATCACAATTTTGTTAAACACAGGTTTTGACAATTCTGATTCAAGATGTGAAGCACGAGACAGACATAAGATCTTATAAATGGTCCTAAACAATGATTTTCAGAGGAACAGTTTTCAAACTAATGGAGGGAACAACTTGTTAGGAGCGACAATGATAAAATGAGAATGGGTAGCAAGAAAGAACTTACATTGGTGCTGGAAAACGGTGTCTACCTTCAACGGCATGTGGAGAAGTACCCATTGTTCCTCATATAATATCACTTTTCACTTTTCAGCTACAGGGGCATGCACATCTGACCTAAACATGTAGGTGACCAACTTCAGTGAAATAATCATTAAGTGAAGTATAAACATCTATGTTAAGATGTAAATTTACGACCTCAATTGCAATAGCACAATCTTTAGAGGGACAAAAACTGATTTGACACATAATAAGAAACCCAGAAATCAAGATAGACAAACAAGGTTATTATTATAAAAATGTGTGTGAGAGAAGAGGTTGAGATATCTCTAAAAAAAAAGACACCTTTTAGAGGTTGGTCGAGAACAAAGATAAAGGGTTGGAAGGGACACATGATTGAATAGTTGGGGAGTTTGAGTCAATGTAGACAGGCTGACAGAGTTACGTCCTTGAGAATTTTTTCTTTCTTTTTTAGGTTTCATTTTAGTTTTTGGGTAGTCACCAACTCTGCCCATCTTTCAGTGTATTTTTCTAATTCCTAGTTTTTCTTCTATTTTTAGCCATTTCTTTTCCATTTTTAATGTTGGAGTGCAAACCCTCCTACTTGCATTCCTCTTCCTGCTATGTAAATCAATTATTAATTTGCACTTGACAAGCCACGATAATTAATACAAAGAAGACATTATGTGCAAACATAATTTTCCTTTGCATATTATGTAGTATACTTCAACTTGACACTTTTAGTGGTAAGGGAAGTAATAGCCAATTAGTCAGGGCATGCATGGTTTTAGCAACGGTTTTTGTATGATTTAAGTTTTAGCCGCTCTGGTGAGCAAATGGTACTTAAATCTTCTCACAATCTTTCATACTAAATAGATATGTACTTACTTTGCTGCCTTTTGTTTTCTCAGGATCATATAACAGAAGTTTATGAAAACAAGTGCTTATTGGGTTGAGAATTGAAGTCGCACACCTCATGTTTAATAAGTTATATGTTAGAACTAGAGTACCAGTATAATAACACAACTAAAATAAAGAGATGAAAAATAAGAGCCAATAAAGATAATATAAAATTATCATAGAAGAAAAAATTACACTACTACTCACTCTAAAATTTACTCCTTCAAATAGGAGACTATTACTACCAAGTACAACCTCGGTGTAATACAAAATCAGAGGGAAAGAGAGGATTTTTTGGGATGATGCTTAAGGGACCCTTAAGCCTCCTTTTATAAGCCAAAGGAGGTCCAAAATATGAGTACCCACCGATGTAGGACTTCTATCATTCTCCCACTTAAAGATTATGATTAAGTTAATCATATCTTCACACATTATAATTATATGTTGCTTATATTCCTAATAAGCCATACAAGGATCGACACCATGTAAACTTGTCATTATTCACTGGCTTTGTCATTATGTCTGCTATGTTGTCTTTGGTGTGAATCTTTTGCATATCCACTCTACCTTCCTCTACTACTTCACGAACAAAGTGGTATTGTATACCTATGTGCTTTGTTCTGGAATGAAAGGCTGAATTCTTTGCAATATGTAAAACACTTTGACTGTCACAATACACAGTAGTAGTCTGCTGTTTGTGCCCAAGTTCCTCCAATAGCCTTTAAATCCAGATTGCTTCCTTGCATGTCTCAGTAGCTGCCATGTATTCAGCTTCTGTAGTAGACAAAGCCACAACAGTCTGCAACTTAGATAACCAGCTTACTGCCCCTCTAGCAAGTGTAAACACATAACCAGTAGTAAATTTTCTTTTATCCAGATCTCCTGCAAAATCTGAATCAACATAGCCTTTCACAATAAATTCTGATCCTTCAAAACATTATGCAACATTAGAGGTTCCTTTTATGTATCTAAGGATCCTCTTTACAACATTCCAATGCTCTCTACCAGGATCTGCCATGTACCTACTGACTGCTCCCACTGCTTGTGCAATGTCTGGTCTAATACAAATCATGGTATACATAAGACTTCCCACCGCTGATGCATACGGTACTCGAGACATTTCCATCATCTCCGCTTCATTGCTAGGACACATACTTGAGGATAATTTATAACTGACAGGAAGTGGGGTAGAGATTGGCTTACAGTCTTGCATATTGAAGCGCCGTAAGACTTTACGAAGATAATTCTTTTGAGAGAGCCTTCCTATCTTTTTTTGTCTTGGTGTATTTGCATCCCTAAAATCTTGTTTGCTGGTCCCCAAGTCCTTCATATCAAACTCCCTAGCTAATTGTGCCTTCAATTCTTGGATTCGATCTTTGCTGGGGCCTACCACCAGCATATCATCCACATACAACAACAAAATAATGAAATCATTATCACCAAACCTCTTGTAATACGTACAATGGTCTGAATTCAATCTGTTGTATCTGAGGCTAATAATGAAGGAATCAAATCTCTTGTACCAACACCTTGGCGCCTGTTTTAAACCGTACAGAGATTTGGTCAACCTGCAAACCAAGTCTTCCTTTCCTTGTTCTTCAAAACCTTCTGGTTGGAGCATATATATTTCTTCTTCAAGTTCACCATGAAGAAAAGTAGTCTTTACATCCAGTTGCTCAAGATGTAAATCAAATGCAACACACATTGTCAGAACAATTCTGATTGTGGTTAATCGGACTACTGGAGAGAATATCTCGTTGAAATCAATGTCTTCTTTCTTAGCATATCCTTTAACCACTAATCTTGCACGATACCACTCCACTTGATCATTACTATCTCGTTTTATTTTGTAAACCCATTTGTTTCTAATGGCTTTTCGACCTTCTGGAAGTGTTACAAGTTTCCTTGTCTTGTTTCTATGTAAGGCTTCCATTTCTTCTTGCATTGCTGCCATCCACAGAGAAGCATCTGAAGTGCTCACAGCCTCTTGAAAGGTTGATGGTTCTCCTTCATCTGTTAGAAGACAATATGCATCGTGGCTTGCCATCACATAGTCTGAGTGCCAAGATGGTCTCCTTATCTCATGTCTTGTTTGTTGAGTTTCTCCATCATTAGCATCATTTGGTTCTTGTTCTCCGTGCTCTTGTTCTGCTTCAGAGTTGTCATCTTCTTTAGCCTTCCTTTCTATCACTACTGAAGTAGTGTCTTTGGTAGTACTGTCATCTTTCTGCTCCTTTTGCAGTTTATTTTCTGCAAAGACTACATCTCTGCTAACAACAACTTTGCGGGCAGTGGGATCCCACAAGCGATACCCCTTAACATTGTCAGCATAACCCAAGAATATACATTTCCTGGATTTTGGATCCCGTTTTGTTCTTTCTTGGGAATTGTACATCACGTACACAGGACATCCAAACACATGTAATGAAGAATAATTAGGTGGCTTTCCATTCCATATCTCCATTGGTGTCTTCAAACCAATTGTTGTTGATGGTGATCGGTTTATTACATAATAGACAATTTTCACTGCTTCTGCCCAGAAAGATTTAGCCACTCCTGCTGTTCTTAGCATAGCTCTTGTTCTTTCTAGAAGAGTTTTGTTCATCCGCTCTACTACACCATTCTGCTGAGGTGTATGAGGCACTGTGAATTGCCTTGAAATACCCTCTTACTTGCAAAATGCCAGAAAATCACCATCTACATATTCTCCTCCATTGTCTGTCCTTAAGCACTTAATTCTTTTCCCAGTTTCAAGTTTTACTAGTGCTTTGAATTCCTTGAACACTGGAAACACATCTGACTTCTTCTTGATTGGGTACACCCATAATCTCCTTGAGTGATCATCAATGAATGATACAAAATATTTTGCTCCTCCAATAGATACTTCTGGTGATTCCCATACATCAGAATGAATCAAGTCCAGTATGTGTCTGTTTCTTGTAGTCACGTTACCAAACTTCAATCTATGCTGCTTACTTGTCACAAAGTGCTCACAAAATGGTAAGGTTACCATTTTGAGCCTTGGTAAGAGATTACGTTCTGCTAGAATTTTCAGGCCTCGTTCTGACATATGACCAAGTCTACGATGCCACATCATTGTTTCTTCTTCTTGACTAATTGCAACTGATGCATCTGCTTCTTGCAACGTATCTCCCAAAAGCATGTATAAATTAGTTGTGAGCTTTTTTGCTTTCATCACCACCAAGTTGCCTTTAACCACTTTCAAGATTCCACCTTCAATATGGATCTTGCAATTGAGGTTATCCAATTGCCCAATGGACAATAGATTCTTTTTCAAACCTTTCACATGTCGTACTCCTTGAATTGTACGAACAGTACCATCATGCATTTTTAATTTGACAGTACCAATTCCAGCAATTTCTAGGGCATGATCATTTCCCATGAACACGGATCCTCCCGAGATAGGTTCATAATTGTAAAACCAGTCTCGACATGGAGTCATGTGCCAGGTTGCACCTAAATCCAATATCCAACATTCATGAAGTTGTCTTCCACCTCTAGAATTTACTGCTTCACTATATAAGATTTCACCATCATCTGAGGTACTTGCAACACAACCTTGAGAGGTTGATGCTTCAATATTCTTCCCTCCTCCACTCTTCTTGTTCCAACAATCTTTCTTCACGTGCCCTCTCTTGCCACAGTTGTAGCATTTGAGGTTCTTCCTTCTCTGAGATTTTGATCTACCATGATTCTGGCTCCCATTGGAACCACGTTCCATTGATCTTCCTCTCATCATCGTCAATGCTTCTGCCTGTTTAGAATTTTCCAGTCTATCTTCCTTATTCTTTCGCCTGGATTCTTCTTCAAGAACTGCTCCAACAACATCATCAAAGGATAGACGACCGATAATGTTGTTATTTGTTATATTGATGATGAGTTGATCATATGAATCTGGTAAACTCTGGAGGAGAAGCTTCGCACGTTCATTTTCTTCTATGTTGAAATTTGCGGCTGTAAGATGAGCAAACAGCGTATTCAGATTGTTGATGTGGTCCGTTACTGATGTGAACTCACTCATTCAAAGAGTGTAGAGTTTCCTCTTCAAGAATATTTTGGTGTGAAGTGACTTGACCTCGTACAACTTGATCAGTGTGTCCCAAATCTCCTTTGCAGTCTTCTTCTCTGCAACACTAGATAACACTAAATCAGCCAATGCTAAGTGCAAATTGGCAACAGCATTGTTATCCATTTCTCTCTATTTTTCTTCTGAAATATCTGCAGGTCTGCCTTCAATTGCATCAAGACAATTGTCTTTCCTCAAAATTGCTCTTATCTTCAATTTCCACAAGGAGAAATTACTCCCATGAAATTTCTCTATCTCATATTTTGCTGCCATAATTTTTCTCTTAATTATACCGACTTATGTAACTTTCATTG